AAATAATCACTGGATGAAGTGTACATTGTAAATTTGTCCAATGAAAGCTTTGCACTTCATCCTGAACTACAAATTTATAGTTTTCTGAAAAATCACCCAGAAATAATGCTGTTACCTCATTCATATCTTCCTTTCTTGATCTCAGGAATAATGCTTGACTCTTTGCTAAATACGAATGTGGTGCAAGTTTTTCCAGTTTTCTACATACTAGTTCAATGTATTCAAACACTGGCTCTTTATTTATGTGTCAACTTTGACCTATCTGTTGTTGTCCATTGATCAAATTCAATCTCATCATCATCTTCAAATTCTCCAAGTATATCATTAAGTTTTTCAACCAATGCATTCATAGTTGCTGGGCATTTTTCACATTTCCTCATCCTACAGTCTTTATTAGTTATATCACAGACAATAAGGTAACAATTCTTTGTATGTCACACCAAGAGGATGTAAAAGCAGTTTCAAATTCTGATGAATAGCACAGACGCATACAGAATGTGTTCCAGAGGCACCAACAGTAATACACCATTTAGGTCGTAAGGTGCAAAACCTTGAAAATCCTATTTTTATTTCTGGGATCTTGGTTTTAAAGGCAACAAACAATTTCTTTAATTTACATAAGAGCAAACGTTTTGCATGTGGACATTTTTCTTTATGCTTACATAGTCCTTTTTATCAGGCATTATACGGCTATGTTCATCGTCGTAAAAGATCTTGACCAGTTGAACTGTTACATCAGGAAGAGCTTTTCCTAATTTAGGATTAGGCATGGTTAAAATACCTTTTTCTAATGTTAACTTACGTGCAGTTCGAGCTACATAGTTTGTTACATGCAATGTTTCAGATACCTTTTTTATTGACCAGTCTGTTGGAGCAAGTGTCACAAGTTGTACTTTTTTGATGTTGATGTAGACTCTGCAATTTTGTTAGTTAACAATACCATCATGTTATCAAACAAGTTTGCTTTTTCCATATACTCATTATCAAAACTTGACTATTTTTCAAAACTTTCTTCTGATATATTAAGGGAAATGGCTACCTTTTTTTAATGGAAGTTGTTAATGCTGTCAATTTTCGTTTACCTTCTCTGATTTTACCTGACTTGTGCAATCCTTTGACCTTAATTGGAGATACTCCGGCAGATGCAAAGTGTGTATTTACACATTCTTATTCATTTTGAATGGATCTTTTATTAACAATATCAAAATCTTCATCATTTTTATTTTCACATATACTTTTTGATAAACATATCATAAGTTTACTTCGACAGGTTGGAATCTTTTTTTTCCAGGTATAAGATTTAAACCTATGGTTTATGTTTCTAACACAATATGCATTGTAACCACTCGTAGAGATGCTTAAAAGGATAGTAATTACATTACTTAAATAACATTAATTATATATATTATGTAATTATATTACTATACAATTTGTTATATTAATAACTATGAAACATTGAACAAATCTTATTAATAAAAAAACTTATATGACTTATTAATAATGATATTACCTAATGAAATATAAATATATAAATTTTTACCTCTACACACCTTTTGGTGACTCAGAAATGGATTACAGCAACTTTTCTGATTACCCTCATATCTTACGACTAACATATCATGATGGTGTGTGCATATATTAGTAATTTGTTCTTGTTTCAGATTTGTTCGTTTTAGTAGTAGCTTACGATCATTGCTGTCAATATCTTCAATCAGATTTTTTCTCGAGTATATGATTGTTTATAATAAGCTCCATAATTTTTTATCTTTAGAAAAATTGAAAAACTAAAACATCAATAACTCCTTGATAAAACATAAGGCCAAATAAAAATTGGAGGCAAAGTAGATATATGTTTAATATTTAAAATAACGAAAACCAAAACTTTTTTTCATCAGTCAGATTTTTTCTAGAACTATAGTTGTCAATGGCCTTTTTTATTGTCATTAACAAGTGTGTTTTGTGGATCTAAAAATAAACTATATTTTATTGTTTTGAGAAATTAAAGTTTATGATTTTCAGATTCAGCAGGTTTTAAACTTCTTTGGTACCAAGTTTTAGCTTCGCAACGTTACTAGAAGTTTGTTAAAAAGGTAATGGTAAATTGACGTATATTGCTGTAAATCTTAAAGGGTTGAGAATTTTTTGAAAAAATTTTACAGTCTTTCCTAACTTATATCTTTAAACATTTGTTGATGCAGGGTGCAACCTCTTGTTGAGAAATTTTTACCCTTCTAACAATAAGGCTTAATTTAGGAATCTGTTTCGATTTTTAAAACTCGGGAATTATTATTTAGGGGATGTTATTTTTTAAAAACAATGCGTAATATTTTCTTTTGCATTCAGTATTGCAAAGACGTTGATTATGGGGACTTTTTTATTTATTTTTTTTGTAATTTATTCCATCACTATATATTTTACATACAATTAACTCTAATTCATGTATACATTTATTAATAAGATAAAAGTTAAAATAATGACAGGAGCAAGTAGAAGAATGCAGTCTTATCATTAAGCCTCTTTCATTTGCAACTTTGCAATAAGTTTCACGTGAGGTTAACGTGACATTAAAAATTCATAAGTAGATATAAAGCAAAAACTTAGCCTTGTACGTAAAAAACAAAGTTTTGTACGTAACAATCTGATAGATGAGTATAGAAAAGAAAAACTATTTGTATTGTGGTCAACCAAATTATAGTTTGTGGTCATCCAAAAGGGATAAGTTCGTTTTAGTTAGTTATTATTAATTTGATCTTTAAAAATAGGAGAGTATGTTGACGTCACTTAAGTTAAGTAGGTGCTGTTTGACTTCTGCTTTAAAGAGATTTGATGACTTCATGTTTTTTATTTCCTCTTTAAGGATCGAATTCTATAGCCGCGGTCCTCGAGATAAGATAGAGAAGTCTGTTATTTTAAGTAAAGTCTTCGGAATGTATTTTAAGTAAAGTCTTCAGAAGTTTTGAAAAGAGTACTTTGTTGCGTATTTGTGATCAATGGTGGAAAATTGATTTTCAAAGTATTTTGGTATTAAATTGTTTTGCGATTGAAACATAAGTAATACATTTTAGAGAAGGTTCATAAAAATTTAGAGCTCCAATTTCCGTGAATAATGGTTTGGCGTGGGTATATCTGTTAATATTGCATACTATTCGACACGCTTGCTTTTACATATATTTTTTTTAGTACTGAAGAGTATGTGCTTGCCCAAACAATATTGCAATAGTTGATATAACTGTGAATAAACGAATAATATATACTTTTCAAGCAAGTTTTATTTAGAAGGTGTTTTATTTTATACATGATGCCGATTGACTTGGAGATTTTATTTTCGATGTGCAAAATATGATTCTTCCAACTATGATTTTCTTGAAAAATTGTTCCTTGGATTTTCATTAAATGGTTGATCATAAGCTGGGAAAGCTGAAGTGGTAAATCTTTTTTCACTTTTTTTTTTCGCAAAAGGTCTTTATTCGCTAATGCGAAACATGATACGTTACATAATGCAAAAAAAACATTTTTAAGTAAAGACTTTGAGAATTTTATAACTTATATTTAATTTTTATAAAGATAATGATTTCATAATTCATGATTTTAATTTCTATAACAATAATAATTATATAATTCATAATTTTAATTTTTATGAAAATAATGATTTCATAATTTATAATTTAAATTTTTATAAAAATAATGATTACATAGTTCATAATTTTAATTTTTGTGAAAATAATGATTTTATAATTCACAATTGATTTGAGTGGCAAATTTAAAAATAAAAAAATTTCCAAGTTACGAAAAATTCCAAACTACTTTTTATTTTTTAGTACAGAATCCCGCTTTAAATGGGTTTTCGGAACCCCTGGACTTCTACAACCCTGAAATATGGGGTTTTAAAGAAGTGTTCTGGTACCGCTCGAGAATCTCTCCTCGTTTTAGAACCCCTCGAATTGGGGGTTCTGAGGGGTTCCAAGTTCGAATCACCTTTAGGAGACCTTATCCCTGGAAAATAATTAAAACTATAGTAGTATTAAGAGGTTAGATTATTTCAAAGCAAGTGACAAATTGCAAAATATCTGTCTTTCGTGTTTTGTAAACTTTTATAAAACAAGGTTATGTATCACATAAACTTATTAGATTTCAAAAAACTAATTCAAGTCAAATTTGAATTCGGATTCAAATGCTTTTATGAACCGCTTGTATTTGCTTAGAACGTAAATGCAAAATTACATTGGAACAAATCATTATAAGTGCAAAGCAGTATCTGGGAATCTGTATAATTACAAATTGGTATAATGCAAATACTGGCATAAGTGCAAGTTTGCGAATCAGTTGCAGGAAAGTTGAGTTCGATGTGAACTCGATCATATATATGCAAACTGACATATATGCGCTCAACGGCTTTCACTTTTCTTATTAATAAATAAATGTTAAAAATAACACAGTTTTCCCAAAACAAATTCTATGTTAGATGCATGTAAATTTTTCTGCGAGTGTTTTTACCTATAAACCGCAGTAGGTACCACTTTTGCAAATTCGTATTTAAGCTAGTGTGTGCCAAATTGTTAGACACATTTATCCCAGTTTGCACTTATGCAAATTATTTTGCGCTTTTGCCAGTGATTTAAATGCACATTATGCATTTTTTTGACTGCTGTTTGGTTCCATTTGAAATTAAATTTGAAATGAAAGTAATATCAGTTTTAATTTTAATACTGAGGATAAATAATTTAACAATGTTATATTAATTATGCATTCTCCCAGTAACTTTGGATCAATGCTTATTAAAATTATAGAATACAGCGGACAGCATTTGATATAACGGCATTTTAACAAAACACCGTATTTTTAATAAAAAAAGTAATAAAAAAATATTATTATTTATAGCTATACTAATATGTATTACTATAAAAATATATTCAATAAACACATATCTCTTCTATATATATATATATATATATATATATATATATATATATATATATATATATATATATATATATATATATATATATATATATATATATACATTTTACCCTGCTGTAGTTTAAGCTACTTTTGCATACAACGGTTTTTCCTTAAGAGAGTAAGAAGTAAGATATTGTTTTGTAACCCCAAAACTTTCATAAGTTACGTTCAAATGTATACTTATGTCACCTTCTAACCGTTCTAAGTTTGATATTCTTACAAATTCCAAAACACTACCCAAGTTGCATATTCGAGCAATCTTAACTGGAGCCCCTCCAATCTTGTGAGGCAAAATGAACTTTACATCACAATATTCATTTATGTTGTGATTTTCTACAACGCTATGGATTAATAATACATTTGAAAACTCAGCAGTAAAACTTAATTTTATGGTAACAGAGTTATTCTGTAAAATTGTTATTGGTGATTCTGGTGCAATATGCGCTAGTTTCCACAAGTTAGATAAACGTGTTTGAAACCTTGAAGGAAGCACTTCATCTGTCAACTTCAGTTCTTCAACAACTGTACTGTGTCTATACATAACTTGTTTTTTTCCACTCGATGGATCAATAATGTTTGACGAGTCGATGCACCGAGCAACTTCATATAACATATCGTCTACTTTAATTGGCTTAATAATGTATTCTTTAAGATACTTAGCATAAAAACCATTATTCATAACTGGTGACTCCATCACTCGGCTCTGAGAACAGCATCCAAATCCAATTATAACATTTTTATCTTGAATTGTGTGTGGTAGCATTGAATCGGATGTCGTATCTAAAAGTTTAGGAAGCGGGTTACTGATGCAAGGCTGATTGTATTCTGGTTTTGATCGACAACAATCAATAAGCAGCACACTCAGTTTAGCATGTTTAATAGCAAGAGTTCTTAAAATTCTTGAAATAGGAATGTTTTCATCAACAGAGAAATTCTCGGTTGCATCTACAGGCATTAAATAAACTTCATTATTAACTTCAAAACCGTGACCTGCAAAATAAAATAAACCGTATGTTCCAGAATCTAACTGTTCATAAAAAAAATCAATTGCTCTTTTCATCGCGAAAAGGTCAAGATTGACAAGTGAGACAACTTTAAATCCAATTGTCGTTAATGTTTCGGCAATCTCATGCACATCGTTAATTGGGTGAACAAGTTTGCCTAATTTTTCTTCTTGATAATATTCACCATTGCCAATTAAAAGTGCTACCTTTTGAGAAGGTAAATTCGATGGCGCAACTTTTGTATCAATGCTAGTTAAAGATGGAACTCCTCTACCCTCTAGCAAGCTGTTGCTCGACGATTTTAAACAAACTACATTAGAGGATAACGATGTTACAGTTCCATATTTATTAGACGCTTGCATTTGATATAACCCTTCATTATCTATGGTTGCTCGCTCAATTACTAAATCACGCCCGCAATGTCCAATTAAACATTTTCCGTTGAAAAACCATTGAAACATTGGAGGTGGGTTACCAACAGCATCGCTGTATAAACGTAGTGTGCCACCATTTTCAAATGAAGATGATCTAGGGTGTGTTGTAATTGTTGGCAAGTTTGAAAGATGTACTCCATCGAAAACTTTTATCCATTTACTAAAAACAAAACCAAATTGATTCCATACTCGACAAATATAGTTTCCAACACTTTCTGGGCAAATCGGAGAAATTTGCAACACCGATTTTGTTTCACCATCCAACTTTTTTTCGCCTTTAAACCATTGAAAATATAATGGAGGTTCTCCGCTTGCTTCTACACTTAGTGTTATTTCGTTTCCTACAAAAACACTTTCTTCAGGAAATTGTCTTAATATAAGCGGATAAATCTCGTTTTTTTTAGCACGATTTAAAAGAGAAACTAATTCATTCCATTCTACAAAGCACTCAAGCCATGTTACAAGTTGAGACACTGTTTTGTTTTTACGACCTAAATCTTCAAGTAGTTTCATGCTTGGACTACCATGGGGGGAAAGCACTTCCATATAAAACTTATTTATTGTTTTACTGTCATAAAGATTATTCTGAATTTTACTTATTAACGTTTTCCAGTTTGGTTTGGATGTTTTATCAAGTGTAAAAGCTATATACCAACATAATCGGTCTGGTAAATCTTTTATAAGAGGTTCTTCCATTCTAAAACCAACTTTTTTATTTTTAACTATAATATTATTTTTTATCTTCACCAATAAAGTGATAACATATAAAAAAAAACTTTTATAATTACTTTAAAATTACATATGTTATATAACATATGTGCATAGCAAATAAAAAATAATATACTTTTTACTTTATCAACGAAGCTAAATATTATTTAGCATGCTATTTATTCAAAGTATGCTGTTATAATAGATTAAATTGGCATGCAAGCAATATATGTTTGATTATGTACTATATATTAACCTAAAACTATCGTTTATATTTAATATGCAATATAAACAATAATAGTTTCTAGCATATACTATATAAACGATTTAATTTCCAATCTTGCTTACTTAATCCTTACTTAGTGTCGATAATAAAGATAGTTTAAAGAAGTATTTTATAATAATTATTTTATTATTTACAACTTTGTTTTGAAAATGACTTATTGATAATCAAGGCGATTTTACTTAATTTGCAAGTTGTTTGAACAAAATGTAAGATTTTTTAACAAATGTTATGTTTATAATCTAGTTTAATGGTTTTTTGTATTAATTAATAAAAGAAAAAACTGAAAATAAGTGAATAATAAAACACTTCTTAAACATCTTTTCTTCTATATTTTTATTAAATTTCTAATGTTAATAACAAACTTACATTATTGTACTATACAAGTTCAAAAGTACGTTTTAGTTTAACAAACTTTTAACTTTTAAACCACAATAAACAAATAAATCATAAAATATCTGTCATTAAAGGGAATAATTATTTTTAAATAATAAACTATGATAAGAATTGCAGATTAGAAGAAATGCTAATTTATTTTTTTTAGTTTAGCAATTTAAATCACACATTTTAATTCCATTACGTAGTAATATCGTTATTTGCGTATTTTGTCAACAACAAATTTTTCTTTTTATTTGATCACAATAAGATAATAAACGGTAGTTGCTCCACTGGAATTTTTTTTTTTTTTTTAAATACTTTTTCCCAATATCTTGGCTATTTATGTCGAAACTATAAATGTCGAAGTTTTTAAAAAGTCTATTTTTACTTCAATTTTTACTTGATTAAAACGCTTTCCATTATGATAATAGACTTTGTTTGTCGAGGTAAAAATACTGTTTAGTTTTAAAAAAGTAAAAGAAACTAAAGATGTAAAATGACAAGATTGCAAATAGGTGACTTCTGACCCAACTCTTAATGTTTCCCTGTTTGCAACATCAACAGTAAGTGTCAAATAGTTTTTATAATCTTAAGATAAATAAAACTTATTCTAATAGTATCTATTTCCATTTATTTAAAAAGATTAATAAACTTTTTGATTTATTTTTATTGGCGGTAGATTTGTAAAGATGTATTTTATCTAAATATATAAAAATAATCCGTTGCTTGTTTTTTGTTTATAAAAAATTTAGGATTTTTCAAAATAAGAACATTGTTTATAAATTAAAAGTGCAGTTGAAGTAAAAATGTTGCTATTTTATTAGAAGTGTATTAAAAACATAAAGACGGTTGAATGAACATCGTTATGCAACCTGTCAAATTAAATTTAATGCCTCAGGTTTCATGGTAGACTTGTTTTAGCGTTCAAAACCGACTTTGATTGCTACAAGTTTCTCTGTGAATGATTGATTAAAGCAAGAAGTTAATTACATCCGGAAAAAACGCCAATAGTTCAATAACGACGTAATTAAAAATGACGTAAAAAAAAAAAGAAACCGGTACTACCATACTAAATGTATCATATGCCGAGTCTACTTTTTAACTATTTATTTTATCAGTATTTGTCAAGAAAGAAAGCTTTTTTATGTACCAAAACGCTGGAATGTTTATAAAAAGAACTTTTTTTCTATATTTTTGAGATTAAATTATGCTAAGAACCTTAGAATACCTCTGAAAATACATAATAAGTGTGGTATTATTATAGTCTGTAAATCAACAATATAGATGTAAACAGAAACTTTTTGTCGACTAAATCTCTCAGTTAAAAGCAAACAAACCAGCTGTATGGCATATAAATTTAATCTCGTTTCAGTTTTTAAGAAACTGAAATACTCCTTTAATTTTAGGAAAACCGCAATTTCTTATGTGAAAAGGTAAACCTTCGTTTTTGCCTTTCAGTGAGAGTATAAAATTTATACATCTAACAAATTTAGTATCTCATATCATAAAATAAAAATATATATTATTTCGTTCTCACTTTCAATGTTGTTATTTTCGATATTGATTAGTTAATGTAAATAATCTTCAAAATGCTCTCCTTCTTTATAAATTTAACAGATTAAGTGTCATAAACCACGTGGTTTTACATTACTTTGTAACGTTATATCACGTGATAAAAAATAGCCAATGAGTATTTAAAGAATTTCATTTTTAAATTTTTGTATGGAAGAATACATTTAAAAACTAAAAATTGTTTATGAATTATATTATTCAATAATTTTTACTTAAATTAACTAAACTAAAAATAATATACATTTTACTACATTTTTTGTTACAATTATTTTTAAATAATAAATTTATAGTTGTTAGTTGTTAATTTTATAATATTTTTAACCCCCTATTTACCTTTTTCCATTCATTGAGCATTTTTGCCGCCATTAAACACGCTACTCGGTGTCTTTCAGCACGATAACGTTGAGCGTTAGGACGTTTGTCTTAGGCTGATTTTTCTCGAATATTCTTAAACTTAAACAAAATAACATGGCCGAAGAAACTGAAACCCACACTGCTGATGAAGTTGAACAAGAAGAAGATGAGGTTAATAAATACATTATTATATCTATTTTGCGTTGTCGTTATGTTTTATTGGTTTTCAGTTGGTTGGTTTTAGTGAGTTTTTCAATTCGCTCTTGCAAATCGATGACAACTTATTAAGATGTTTTATTTTGTAGGAAGTTGATGAACTAGAAGAGAACGCTGAAGCTGCTGAAGAAGAAGAACCGGAATCTACTGATGAAACAGAAGATAATCCTGAAAACGACGATGTTCAAGAAGCCGAAGACATACCAGAAACAGAAGATGTTGATGAAAACCCAGAAAACGATGATTACCCTGAAAACGATGAAACAGCTGAAACTAACGGCGATGATGGATATGCTGATGAAAAGGTGACTTACAAACGCAAAGAGGTTTCTGAGGTAATCATACATTGAAAGTGTACTATTTAACATGATTACACACATTTAAACACAGTTTAAGTCAATACCATTTTTGTTTTGCTTTTTTTTATTTTGTAGTTGCTTTTTTCTAAATTTTTTCCCCTTGCGTCTAGCATGAAGATGATACCATAAAGAAGAAAAAACTTGACAACGGTGTAGAATCAGACGAAGCTAAACATGTTCAAGAAGCTGAAGCGTAACCAAAATATCGATGCAAACCCTTAAATTGCGAATTCATCTTTAACTACAAAGTATATGGTCTAAATAATGTTTTATATTGTAAATATTTTGTTAAGTAGATATTTAGTTTTAAGACCTTATGCTATCTCTGTTAGGCAGTATACATGTAAAACTTGATGGATGTTAATTGGTTTTTAATGCTTTTGTGACAGCATTTGTTAAAGGAGTTATTGTATTTTATTAACGCTTAAATAAATTATTTAGGTTGTAATAAAATTTTAAGATATTAAATACTGGTTTTTAATTGTTTTGTTTTTTTTTATCTTTTTAAAATATTTAAGTTAACTTGCGTTTAAATAAAAAATGTTTTTAAACGTAGGGTTGTGCTACAAACCAGGTAAACTATATCAGAATTTAAAATTTAGTACTTTTTTAAACTAAACAATTTTTTCTTTATAGATTTTTATCATTTTCAAAAGAGTTAAGTTAAGATAAATTCAAGGTAAAAAGCGACATATATAGAGTAAAATGACACTATTTAAGTCGTCATAGTGTATAGGAATTTATTTTTTTTTGAAATTTTGTCACAGGGTTATTGATTTTGTAAATTTAAAATAAGATAAGCATAGCTCTGCAAGATATTGCAACTAAAATATTTTTGGTTTTCAAGTGTAGACTTAAATATAGAAAGTTCATAGTGACTGTTTTTAATTCGTCCTTTGATTTGTTTAAGTGATTATATTGTTCAAATGCCACTCGTACTGATATCTAAAAGGGTTTTTTTTAGCCCTCATTAAATTAGATTACTAATAAGTCAAGGAAGTAATTTATTTCAACGTGATTTTGTTACTCAAATGTCTCAAACGAAAATAAAAAGTTCAGAGCAGACTAAAGTTATTTTCTGTTTTATTCTGTTAGGTCTAAGCTATTCCAATCGTTAAATACTTAAGTTTCGCCGTAGATTTTTTGTTACATGTTAAAGCCCAATTACGACCTTGAGCTGTTAAAGCAATTGAGTTATCAGGTGGATAATTACAGGTTTAATTATTTGTTTCTACATTTTAAAAACTGATTAAGGCCATAGCAGTCCCGTCTTCTTTCGAGAGTCTTTATGGAGAATAGGTAATTGATTAGTAATTTGTTAATTACAGCAGTTTCTTCCCTAAAGAGATATTTTCTAACTATAGTTATAATTCTTACTAATATAATGTATCATAATAAAAGTTATTGAATATATTAAACTATTTGTCGTAACATATACGTAATAAATATTTATTGTATACCAAATACACTATATATAATTAACTTTTTCAAATTCGCCCTACTTGTTTTTTTCGTAGTAAAATGGTTTATGTTTATTGACATCTGTCAAAGGGGACTACTGAATAAGTGCGAACTGGCAGAAACGCAAAACTGACATAAGTGCGCCAAAAGATTTTTTAAACATTGGCATAAGTGCGAATTAGCATAAGTGCGCCGAATAAATCTGCAAACATTGACATAAGTTTAAAATACTAAGTTGCACTTGTGTTAATATATGCAATTTTATTCGGCGTACTTATGCCTATTCGCTCTTATGCCAGTTTTTGTAACTGCTTCATACTTATGCCAGTTCGTACTTATGCCAATGTTTGCAAATTTGTTCGGCTCACTTATGCCAATTTGCACTTAGGCCAGTTCGCACTTGTGCCAGTTTTTGCAACTGCTTCGCACTTATGCCAATGTGATAGATACTTGTTCAGCCTCCCGCTGTCTCGTATCTATCAGGGTTTTAGTTGCGGTTTGTAAATATGGAGAGATATACGATTGAATAACGCGTCTTATATACGCTCGAGTAACGCATCTTACGATCGAATAACGAGTTAAAAATTATTATAAGTTTTGTAAAAATTATGCAGAAGTTGGAAGAAAATTTCCTACAAGGTATGGAAAAAGAAATTGTCCAACAAACTCCACTATTCGAAATACAGTGAAATATTAATTTGAAAAAACGGGTTTAATTTTAGATCAAAAAAATAAAATTTAAAGTCGTAGTAGTTGTTCTCTAGGAAATATCGCTGCTGTCATTGAAAGTGTTTGTGAAGAGCGAAACACTTCACTTAAAAGCTTACAAAATACAATTAACAATTACTTACAACTGATTATAGATTATTTTATGCATTTGTTAATTGGGCTCTTCCAGCGAGATAAGAAATTAATGATTTAATTAACAAAGTGATCTTTAGTGATGAATCTTATTTTGAAATTGGTGGGTATGTAAGCAAACAAAATTTTCGAATTTAGTGTAAAGAAAATCAACGAGTAATATTTGTAAAATAACTACATTCATAAAAGTAACTGGTGTGGTTTTTGGTCTGGTGGATTGATAGGGGACGACCGAATAAGCGCGAATTTCTTAAGTGCGAACTGGCATAAGTGCGAATGGCGTAAGCGCGAACTGGCATAAGGGCATAAGTGCGAACTGGTATATGTGCGAATTGGCATAAGTGCGCCAAAACATTTTGCAAACATTGGCATAAGTGCGAATTGGCATATGTGCGAACTTGCATAAGTGCAAATCAGTTACAAAAACTGGCACAAGTGCGAACTGGCATAAGTGCGAATTGGCATAAGTGCACCGAACAAATTTGCAAACATTGGCTAGTGCGAATTGGCATAAGTGCGCGAACTAGCATTAGTGCGAAGCAGTTACAAAAACTGCCATAAGTGCGAACTGGCATAACTGCGAATTGGCATAAGTGCGCCAAATAAATTTGCAAACATTGGCATAAGTGCGAATTGACATAAGTGCAAAACACTAATTTGCACTTATGCCAATATTTAAAATTTTATTCGGTGCACTTATGCCAATTTGCAGTTATAACAGTTCGCACTTATGGCAGTTTTTGTAACTGCTTCGCACTAATGCCAGTTCGCACTTATGCCAATTCGAATGTTTGCAAATTTGTTTAACGCACTTATGCCAACTCACATTTATGCCAGTCCGCACTTGTGCCAGTTTTTGTAACTGATTTGCACTTATGCCAGTTTTTGCAACGCTTTGCACTTATGTCAGTTCGCACATATGCCAATTCGCGCTTATGCAGCCTCCCGATTGTTTGATTCATTGGTCTACATTTCTTTGAAAATAAAACTAGACACACTGTTACTGTGAATGGTGCTTGTCATCGAACAATAGTAGGAAACTTTTTGTTTGAGGAATTAGAGTGTTGCCTATAACTCAACCTAATTTTGAAATTACATAAATCGTAGATTATGACGTTTTTGATTTTCAACCGACAATTTTTGATTTTTATATTTACACCTAATTGAAACATGGACTACTAATTTTCCAACCTACTAAATCGTTGACCTACTGTTTTTTTGACCAACTGAATTTTCAACCTACTGAATATTCAACCTACTGTGTATTCAATTTTACAACTACGCCTTTCCGGTATATTTTGTTGTTGATTTGAATACTAGCTAAATTTTATCAGCCTTGGCGCAGTGGATAAAGCGCTGTCTTCAGAATCGGGAGGTGTAAAGTTCGATGAATGTTTAGAAAACTTGTTGATTGTTAATTTTAAAAAAAAAACTTTCTAGTTGAAAAAAACAACGTTAAAAATACAGGCCGGATGATCGGTTGAAAATAAATTTATCTCAAATCGGTTAAAAATGAAAGTCTATAAAATAGGTCAAAAAATGAATCGGTCGAAAACGAAAACATCATAAATCGGTTGAAACTTTAATCGGTTGAAAACAATTTAGGCCTCAAGATTTTTGTAGGTATAACTATCTGACACGAATCGACATATTAATTTGCAGAATAAGCGGTTTCAACAGGACGATTTTAATTTGCAGAATATGCGGTTTCAACAGGACGATATTAATTTGCAGAATATGCGGTTTTAACAGGACGATGCAACAGAAACAATCAATCTTTTGAAAGAGAAATTTGATGATCGAATAATTTTTCAAAGAGGAACTGTTAACTGGATACCAAGATTACGTGACCTGACACCATTAGATTTCTTTTTTATGGTTTTTTTTTTAAAAAGCTAATAATCCTAAAACCATTCAACATCTGAAAAAAAACATAATCGAGCAAATTACTCCAAATGAACCTCAACTATGTCATCATGTATTGGAAAATTTCACAAAAAGATTAGAGGCCTGTAGAGCTGTACGACGTAGCCACTTACCTGACATTATTTTTCATTATTAACTGTCATGTGTCTACATTATTTTCAATAAAAATATCTGCTTATTTCAAAAATAAATATATTTTTATAAAAAAAAAAAAGTTAATTCAAATTTGAACACCCTTTATTTGATCAATAAGCTGTTACACTATATAGAAAATAGAGAGGTTTTATATTATAAATCTAGATAAAATATAGGGGAAAGGCGCCTATAATGGCATAGTTAACTTTGAAGCTTCATTATTCAGTATCCTGAAGACCAATAGTTAAAGTTTTGATATGGATACCAGGGGCGGATCCAGGGTGTCGCGAATGATGCGCATGCATCAGTCTTTTTTCAATGCTAAATTTAAGTGTATCTCTTTTTCACTTTTTTTTCTTAATAAAAAGTAAAAGTAGAAATTGGAATCTGGTATTCTCAAAAAATAAAATACTTGTTTGAAACTCGAAAAAAATTCATTTAATTTTATCTCTATAGTTACTTATTCGTTACTTATACAAAATTCCTGCGTTTTGGAGCAACTGATGCAATTGTTCTTCATTAAATACAAATGTGATTAGTTAAAAAAAAAAAAAGTACGTTTTAACCAATCATATTTGTACTTTTTCACAAATTTTTCCGATCACTTTGTAGCAACTGATGCAATTGTACTCTAAATCATTAATGATTGGTTAAAAAACAGTTTAAACCAATCACTATTTAATAAAATAACAATTGCATCAGTTGCTACAAAACTTCCGCAAAAAACTTTACAAAAAAGATAAGAAATGTTATTTATAACCAATCAAATTTGTAGAAAGTTTAGAACAATTGCATCAGTTGCTCCAAATCGTTCAAATTTGACAAAATTCTGATACGCCACCTGATAAACGTTCTTCGCTTGTAATTTTCGTCATTAGGACTTAGTTTGTAAACTAAAGTTTAAAAAAAAAAATGAATTGTTTAGTCTCAAATGCAATTAAGGCTAGACATTTGCCAAATATTCGCAAATATAAAAACCAGTTGACTGAAGAATTGAAAGTTTTAAATAATATTATTATTTGAACTGAACTGAACTGAAGCTGAACTGGACTCTTATTATTAATAAGAGTCCAGTTTAGCCACATAGTCAGTCTTCTGAAAATACTGAAATGGATCGTTTTATCTCAAAGCAAGAAGATACTAATGATTATGTTGCTTTAAGGTAAAACCCTATTATTAAAGTTAATGGTATTTTATATTTCCAGCTAGTATTTAATATAAACTGAGCTTGTTTTAGTATACTTTTTATTTTATTTAAGGTCATCTGAAGATGGAAATTGCCTCTACAGTTCAGCTTCTCTTTTAAGCAATTCGTCTCTGAAGACAGTTAATGTATTGAGGCTTCTAACTTCGATTGAAAATTGTTTAAAAAAGCTTCCTACTATGCGAGGTATTCCCTTTTTGTTAAGCAGGTTGAAAACAATAATTCTAATCTTTCCAGTGTTCTAGTAGCCTGTGTTTCTTTTGAATGTTCAGATCAATTTAAATTAATTAACAGTGAATCAGCTTCTGAAATTATAATAATGGAAGCATTGATCAACTGCCAAGCTAACAAGTTTACTTCGTTTTTATGTCTAATTGCTTTGTCATCAGTTTTAAATATTTCTATTAGATCAATTTATCCTGATTTTGGCTTAGAAAAATTCAAAAAACTTTTTAATGCAATTATTTTTCCATTTCGTTCAATTAAAATCAAGATCAAAATGTTTTGAATATTTTATGGTGTAATACTGATATTATGTCAGTGATGCAAAATAATAATAACTGGACACCGAACCATTTTGTACCAATTATTATAAGCCTAAACTAATTTCTAGCATTAATTAGATTTTGGCTATAAAAAACGATGCTACTTATTCTTTAAATTTTTTAGTCCTAAAACTGAAACAAATAAAAAAAACAACTTGATTCTGCAAAACATGTCAAAATTCAATCTAAAATTAACTTTAAAAAAGACAATGCTTTCATAGAGTTGCCTTTTGAACCTTTTGTAGATTCAAAAATAGTTAAGTCATTAGACTCCAACTCAGTTATTATTCCTTCATATAATGAATTAAATTCTTTGTATGACGTTTCAACATATCTTGTTTGAGGTAAACTTTTAATCGCTGGCAAAGATGATTCTTTTTTGTTAGATATGATAAACAAAGTATTTTGTCCTAATTCTATGTTTGTTTTTCCAATATCTTTAAATACAAAAAGATCATTTAAATTTGAATGGCTCAGCCAGTTTTCTTGGTTAGCTTATTCTAGGAAAGAAGATGGAGCTTACTGTCTTGCTAGGTGCTAGTATTCCAAATAAGTCTGGAATATTAAATTTAGTTTTCAAGCCCCATCAAGAGTGGGGTAATGCTGTTCGTGATTATAGAAAACATGTGGAAAATTGTGTTTTACATAAAAAAAATCTATGCTTTCATTTAATGCATTGCTTTCACGTTGCAATTCCAAAAGTAATGTTATTGAGGTTGATTTAAATAATTCTCGTTTGAAACTTCTTTCTGATAACCGAAAAAAATTAGTTCCAATAATTAAAACAATAATATTTCTTGGTAGAAACGATCTAGCATTTCGTGGATATCGTGATGATAGCAAATATCATCATGATTTGGGGAATCTTCTACACAAAAAGTAGGAGTTGGTAACTTCATAGAGCTTTTAAATTTTCGTGTTGATGCTGGTGATCAAATATTATCTAATCATCTTTCTTCAAGTCCAAAAAATGCAACCTATATATCAAAAACTACCCAAAACCAACTTATTGATTCTTGTGGGAAAGCAATTAAGGAAGTTTTAATAAAAAATGTCAAGCATTCAATTTTTTTTTCAATTCTTTGTGATGAAGCAGTTGACTGTTCAAATACGGTGTCCTATGATTCAACCGAATCCCTAATTTCAATTTAGAACCGAATATGAGAAATTTATTACACAACCGAAAATATTTACAAAAAAAATTAGAACCGAAAAAATTTCAATCAAATTTTCGATCGAAAGTCATTAATGATTTTAGAACCAAAAAAATTTCGATCGAATTTCAATCGAAAGTCATTAATGATTTTAGAGCCGAATTTCATTAAAATGGTTTACAACCGAAAGTTACACTGTTATCAAACATTGTATATATATATATATATATATATATATATATATATATATATATATATATATATATATATATATATATACAATGTTTATACATATATGTATATATATATATATATATATATATATATATATATATATATATATATATATATATATATATATATATATATATATATATATATACAATGTTTATACATATATATATATATATATATATATATATATATATATATATATATATATATATATATATATATATATATATATATATATATATATATACGTATATATATATATATATATATATATATATATATATATATATATATATATATATATATATATATGTATGTATATATATATATATATATATATATATATATACATATATATATATATATATATATATATATGTATGTATGTATGTATGTATGTATGTATGTATGTATGTATATATATATTTTAATAGTAAAATTTTAATAATAAAAAAAAAATAGATTAAAAAAAGAAAGGATTTTGTAATTCGATCCTGCAATGAAATTATACTTTTCGGTTCTAAAATTTTCGGTTGTGAAATGTTTCGGTGATATTTTCGAGGATAAATATTTTCGGGTCTATCATGTGACACGTTCAAATACTGAACAAATGTCACTTGTTTTAAGATATGTAAATTCAAATAATGAGATTTGCGAGGATTTCTTAAGATTTATTGATTGCAAGACTGGTACATCTGGTCTTAGTCTATCTCTAAATGTACCTAATGCACTTCAAGAGTTCGGACTTGATATTCAAAATTGTAGAGGTCAAGGGTTGACCTCTACAATTGCAAGACGGTGCGGGTTGTATGGCAGGTGAGTATAAAGGAGTTGCTTCTCGAATAAAAGCTCTTAATCATAAAGCTATATTTGTTCATTGTGCAAGCCATAGATTTAGTTTAGTAGTAGCAGCTGCATGCCAAGTTCAAAAAGTAAAAAATCTTCTTGGCCAAGTAAAAGAAATTTCTTATTTTTTTAACTTATCTCCTAAACGTAGTAACTGTCTCAAAAAATATTCAAGTCCAAATCAAGAAAAAATAATAGATACTTGTTGAACAAGATGGGTTCAACAACTGAGAGGTGTTGATGTTTTTTTTGATAATTTTATACTTATTATTCATGCTTTAGAGGAGATGGGATTAAATGAGTCAAAGGAATATAACAGTGAAACTGCTTCCAAATCCTCTACTTTTTTAAGATTATTAACAGATTTCTCTTTTATTGTAAGTTTAGTTATTACAAAACAATTAATGGATTTTTTTTATGCAATTACTGTAACTCTTCGAACTAAATCTTTTGACATATCCCAGCAGTGTTTTGAAATAACTAATCTAAAAAATCTGTTATTAGAAATTAAAAATAAAATTGATATATATCACACTGAATGGTACGCTATCGCTCTTAGTTTAGCCAAAACTCTTGATATACAAGAAGTGAGACCTAGATTGTGTAATGTCCAGGTTTACCGGGATAATTATCCAACAAATACAGTTTGTGACTATTTTAAACATAGCATTACTTCTCCATTAGTTGAAAATCTTATTAATGAGCTAGATAATAGGTTTCCAGAAAATGACATGTTTGGTTATAAAGGTCTAGCAGCAGTTCCTTCAACTGTACTATCCAGAATACAAGTTAAAAAACCATGGAAATCTGATTTTTTATAAATTTTTAAATTTCTATTCATCTGATATGCCTCATTTTACTTCAATACATGCTGAGTTAGATTTATGGGAATTATTTTGGAAAAACCAGTCAAGTATTCCTTCAACTGTTGCTGGTACTTTAAAGTCCATTGACATGAGAGGTTTTCCAAATATAAGGACAGCATTTATAATTTTAGGAACAATTCCAATAACAACTTGTGAATGTGAAAGAAGTATTTCAGTTATACGTAGGCTAAAAACATACTCCAGAAGAAATATAATTGAGTCTCGCATTAACTCTTTAGCATTAATGTCCATAAATCAAGAAATTTTTCCAGATGTTGAAGTCAGGTGTAAGACGTTTAGATTTAGCTTTTATTTAGTAGTGTACTAACTTTTATTTTACTTTTTTCTAATTTGATTTTTACTAATATTGTGTGTGTGTGTGTTTGTGTGTGTGTGTGTGTGTGTGTGTGTGTGTGTGTGTGTGTGTGTGTGTGTGTGTGTGTGTGTGTGTATTTAAAATATAGAACTTCAATAAAAAAATATAACAAAAATTATTATAACAAAAAACATTTTAAAATTAAAAAAAAAAAGAATCCAGATATGGAGGGCTAACCTTAGGCAAGATTAATAATATAAGATTAATAATATAAAATAAAATAAAGATAAAATCCAGAAATGGAGGACTAACCTTTATTATTATATTTCTAGTTACTTAACCTAATATTACTTAACTTTAATAAATAACCTAATATTACTTTACATGACGTGCCTCTCAAGAAAAGGAAAGAATCCATAAATAGAGGGCTAACCTTGGGCAAAATGACAGTATACAGATGAAGTGCTAAGTCCTATGGCTTACCTTCTCGTTGGTGCACTTTGTTAAGTAAATTAGGCTTAAAATTACATGTCTAATTTATGAACAAAATAGCCAAGGCAACATTTGTAAAAATTTCTGCTAAAAATGGATACTGCAAAAGAAATACAATATTTAGTTACTATTCAATGATATAAACAGCGACGCCACTCGTAAAAAAAGCTGCCTGGGGCGTGTCCGCCCCACCCTCGCTACGCCTTTTAATGTTTCTCCACTTTTTGTATTGACTATACTTAAACCCTAAAGAAGTTGCGGGGGGGGGGGAAACGTCAATAAAAATATTTCGCATCACCCATTTAAAATGCTAGATCCGCCCCTGGATACATTCCTTGTTACAAGTAGAACAATAATAACCCTCGGATTTTTCATCAGTTTTGTTTTTTTTATAAGTTATTCCTATTTAAAAAAAAAAAGCACAAGTATGCCATCATAGGCAACCACTGCTCCTATTATGGCATAGGGAAGGATAGGCTGGTTAGGATTAAGCATTTAGCATTGCATAGTTTTGCGCATGCGCATAGGATATATTGTGTTTTATGCATTTTTTGGACCAAATAAAAAACTTTTAGAGGATCGCATTTTTTTTACTTTACTTAAAAATAAGTTTTTCTTATAAAAAAAAAGTTTTCCCAAATTTGCCAATATTGCAAGACACCAACTCGTCAGTATGCCATCATAGGAAGAAGTCATCATTTTTATTAAACAAGCTGTGTCTGCCTTATTTTAAAAATGAAATTAAAGTTTGTATTCCACTAAATGCACAAAACTTGAATATAAAATACATAAAAATTCCCTTTCTGCACAATCAACGATGAAATCACAATCTTAAATATATGAAGGGAATAAAACTACAACAGCACATCCCAAAATCAATTTTTGCTGATTTTAAAAACAATATTTGTGCACAAGGGACGTATTTTCACTAAAACTAATGTTAAGCCAGTATAACCATGTAGATCTATTCACTTTTTCACAAAAACCAATTTTTATGGAAATATGACAAGTATGCCATCATAGGCGCCTTTCCCCTACGTTTTATTTTATTCCATTTATTCGTTTTTGGTTTTTTGGAAAAAATTAAAAAGATATTTACTATTAAATAAATATTTACGAAATACATTATATAAATATATCAAAGTATTATTCATCTATTTATCATTATAAATTTAATTTCGGAAACAACATATTAAAAATAAATATTCTTAATATACTTATTTTCATGTTTAAGTTTAAAAATGGTATGCTACCAAGCATTTTCCAAACTTATTTTTTTTCTTTAAACCACAAATACGAAACTAAATACTCAACAAATAATTTTATTATACCAAAAACATTATCAAAACAAGCTGATTTTTCGATATCTTGTCGAGGGCAGCGGTTATGGAACTTGCTTTTAACAAACAATATAAAAACTTTAAATTCAACTCAACATTTTAAACGTGCAACAAAACAACACTTATTTGGTTTTGACACAAAGCAATTACTATCGTATTATTAAAAACTTTTGGTAATCTTAGTTATTTAATGTCTTATAAATTGACTCAACATCACAATTATATTGTATGGTACTTAGAACATGTATGATATTATTTTATTTTACAATACGTAATTTGTAAATGCAATATTTATTATATCTTACGCAATTTGTAGATGGAATGTAATACAGATTTATTTGATTTGTATGTATATATGAACGGACATATATTTGTGTGTACGTGTGCGTATGTGTGTGTGTATGTGTGTGTGTATGTGTGCGTATGTGTGTGTGCGTGCGTGTATAATAAAAATAAAAGTCGAATAAAATAGAGAATTAAAAAAAAATAATAATAATAATGAGAAGAAATAATTAATATATATTTTTTTTTTTTCTCTTTCTGTAAATAATTATTTGATTTTTAAGTTCTTTTCTTCTTAAAATCAGTTCTTGCTTTAGTTTCTTTTTTCCTTTTTCATTTTTATCGGCTGAATTTTTTAGTTATATTAACGGGGCTGGATGATAAGATCATGTCTTCTGCCAGCTCCAGTCGAAACTTTAATGTTATAATTTTTATGTTGTAAAAAAACATTGTAAAAGATTATTCATTTAATGACGAAATAAATAAATAAATAAATAAAACTTATTATTTTTCATGGCAAAAAACACATACCTAAACTTTTAGTTCCTGTGTAATAATAAGATATATACATAGTATCAAAATCGCTAATCTATTAATGTTTGCAAACCAATGGAACTGAAATATGCTGCATTTATTGGGTCGGCTCTGTACACTGTATCTTTTTCTTGGATAGCTCTAAAATCGAAAAATCTCTAAATGGTTAAAGACCTTTTCACAAGCATGCTCTCCGCGGCACTTGGAGTACTAGAAGCAGTAAAATATCAGTTTGAGGTGCATAAAAAACGTTTTTGAAATTAAAATTGATATCTTGAAGAAGACATTCTTTAGAAACGTGTCTATTATACCACAATAAATCAACAGGCGAAGCCATCTTACTCTAACCTACTCAGTAAATCACGAAAATAAATTCTAGAGCAGCATCAACTTTTCAAGGATTTTAACAACGACTCCAAAGATAGACAAGCAAGGGAATGCAAGGTTGTTTTAGTTGGTATCGTCGAATTGGATAAATCCGATTATATCAAATTCGAGGAACTCAAATTTGGTATAATCGGATTGCTGGCTCAACAAACCAAAGCTCAACGAATTAGCTGCTAGACTAAAACCAACATCTCAAAACGCCATCCCGGATGTTCTCTTTGTCACAGAGACTTTTTCAATGAGTCTCAAAGAGAACTGGTAGGTTATAATCTGTATTGACAAGATAAGAGACTCTAGTGTAAATGGTGTTGCTTTATACACCGGAAAAAGCTAATAAAGCTAAGATAATTAGATAACTAAACTCTAAAAATGTTGAACAAGTCTGGCGTTTTATTTCGTTTGGTAAAGAAACTATTCTCCTTGGATCAATGTACCAACCCCATGATCTAAACGACAAAGTGCTTCATAGGATAATAATATTGCTCGCCAAATCGAAGGCTTTACTAAACAAGATTGGGTATGCAGCAATCTTAGAAAATGAGCGTCAAATAACAATTACAAAGACGCAGTATATATAGAGTAGAGCAGGAAAACATCAACATACAGCGTTAGACTGAAAAGACTTATTCAATGGCTTCTTAACGAACGAGTGTTACCATCTTTAATGTCAAAAGGGAGAAGATGCTTGCAAGCGTTTTATACCAACTACAATCACTTCCATTGTCGAAGTTCCCAACCCATTGGTAACACCAAAAGGTTATTGAGGCAATCGTAGAAATTGGAATTGTTCAAAGCCTCAAAGAAAAATCGAATCGAATTTTAAATAATTACTTTTAGTTTGTTTTTGTAATTTTGCCGCAAGGTCCAATGCCGGATTTTGAACCACACACGCAAGTGACTTGCACAACAAAGATGCAGTTTATAACACGAGATGAAGTACAGAAGAGACTCGAATATATATATATATATATATATATATATATATATATATATATATATATATATATATATATATATATATATATATATATGGACAACTGATTTGAATAGCTTATTCGAAAACTACTTAGCTAACAAATGTTACAATCTATTCATATAAGTGTGCGATAAACTAATTACAGAACTCATTCCGTCAACTACCTCGCATTTCAAGAAGAAACATTAACCATAGATAACAGGCAAAGTTTTAAAAGCTATTAGCGCAAAACAAGAACTTTAGAATATATATATCGCCTCTGGTTGCCATACACATAGAGAGTTCAGAGACAAGCACCAAGAAGCATGTAGAAATGTATCAAAAACTTTGAGACTAGCCGTGTTAGATTATAAAAAGAACCTAGCTAATTTATACAAAAACGACCATAAAAAGCAACACGCTCATATCAAAAACAAAACCAACTCAAAATGTGTATTCAGCTCTATAGAAACAATTCAGCTCTGATGAAACAATATTAACAGATTTTTAAATTATTTGCACTACCCTGAACAATTAAATCCAATCAGTATTTGTCAACGAGCTAAACGTACCTGTGCCGGAATTAGAACCCCAAATTGACAACAAATGTATATTAGACGAGGATATCTTTTCAATCAGCGATATCCATGCTTAACTCGCAAACCTAAATGAATCTAAATCTCTCGGTGTGGATAACGTTCATCCTCGTGTACTCAAACACTGCGCAGAAGCTTTCGCATCTCAAATCTCCTCAAAACTCGCAACTTTGTCGCAGAAGCCGCACACAAAAAGTATCCAGTCGATGTGATCTACACTGATTTTGCAAAAACATTTGATAAAGTTCCACACAATCACATATTGAGCAAATTAAAAGCATATGGCATCAACGAGAAAGCATTCATGTGGATAAATGCTTGACTCAACAATAGACAACAGCGTGTTGTCATTGTTACTTATTTAGCTGCTGAAATATTCACATCAGATTGGAAAACAGTCACAAGTGGTGTCCTTCAAGGAAGCGT